TATGTGTGAGACATATATAAATTATATAGTTTACATCTCTTATTTTTTACATTTAGATTATTTCTATTTTCCCTGTTATTTTAATAAATGTCTTTATTTTTTGAGTTTTTTTTTTTTTTTCCTTAGGGGTGAGTGTGCTCTCTGGAGAGAGAGACAGAGAAAGTGAGAAATCATCCCCCCGAGAGGATGTCCACACCACAATCCCTTCTCCTCCCAGGATCTTGGGCGGGCACACACACGCATACACACGCATACACATGCCCGGTGTGTTAGGTTGAGGACTCGAACTGCAGTCGGCCATGTGGGAGTCCAGTGACATAACCGCTCTGCCATCTGCTAACCCCAGGGCATATCTTCATACACACATCTTTGCACACTTCCCGGAAGTAAGACCGCTGGTTCTAGATTACTGTATTAGTGACCCACTGATACAAATAACACAAACCGGTTCAGGCTAGAATAAGCCAACAAGCTCCCAGAGAAGAGAGAAACCAAGGGCAGGTGTGTAGTCAGACATCCAAGAGGCCGAGGCCAAGGACCGAAGGGCCCTCAGAAACCAAGACGCAAGGTCTCGAGTGTCTCAGCTACTCCGGAACACGGGACGCTCTCCTCGGCGCACACGGACAGGGGCAGAGGGCGGTTCACGGCACTCGTGAGGGGATGAGTCCAGGCAGAAGCTGAATCTCTCTGATCCAAGAGAAAACATCCGATGACCCGTGAAGCCACCTCTGGGCCACGCTACTGGCCTGGCCTGCCCTCCGCAGCCTCGTGTGCCTCTCTGCCCCGGGGTGCGGAAGGGGAGGAGAACTTGCATTTACGGAACCCAGTGCTGGACGCGCTCACCTCAACAGACCCAGAGTCCCAGGTCACTGTGAGGACACCAAGGCTCAGAGAGGCGGAACGACTCGCTCAGAGTCACGCAGCTAGGGAGTGCGGGGCCTGGCACCGAGCCCAGCCTAGACCTGAGAGCCCAGCCCTTTCACCAGCTGGACCATACTGACCAGAGAAGGCGATGGCGAAGATCCCGCCCATGGCCGCGTCACGGTGAAACCTGAGCAGGACCTGGTTGGACGAGCTGTGCACCATTTTCTTGGCCAAGCTGCGGGTGAAGACTCCGAGTGGTGGCGCCGTCGGCTGTGGCCCATCCCTGCACATAAGAAAGAAGGTCTTGGCGTGTCACCATAATGGGACTGCCTGCTCCACCCAGGGCCCCAAGAGTCCTGGAGCAGGAAGCTGGGACTCTCTTCCACCCAGCACTTCTCCCAGCCCCGAAGTCTCTCTCCACCCTCTCCCGGTTAACTCGGTCTCCCCACGGAGTTGACAGAATCGGGGAAGCTCAGACTCCCCATTCCCAGTTCTTCTCCAGCCCGTCACCTGTCTTCCAGTTTTAAAATGAACTCGTTACAGCACACACAGACTACAGGACGCAGAGCTGAGCTATCTAGTCCAGAGACCACCAGCCAAACGTGGCTATTTGCATTTAAATGAATTAAAATGCAAAAATCCGCACCGCAGTCACCCCAGCCCCCCAGCCCCTGCACTCGTGGCCGCCACGCTGGAGAGCAGAGGCAGACTTCCCGTCATGCAGCACGTCCTGCAGGAGCACGCTGGCTCCACACTTCACAGCATCCCATGCCGGCGCGCTCCCACTTCTCTGGGGATTTGTCTTAGGTAGGCAATCGGTTTGAACTTTGGAAATTTTGAGAAAAAGCCGGGTCCATGCCCACTCCTTCACACACCGGTAGGTACTTTCACCGGTCCCTAGCAGGCCCCAAGCCGGGAGCCACTGTCCTCCCGTTCCCCTCCCGCCGGGGAGTCACGCTGGCTAGCTGAGGCTGAGCCCACTGCACGGTGTTCACGTGACACCCAGGAGGTGACGGCCGCTGGGAACCATTCAGCTCCTGGGCTTCTGGACCGACAGTGGGCAGCCCGGCTAGAGCTCCACCAGCACCCTCGCACTGGCCGAAAGGCACCCGGCCCTACCAGATGGTGATGAAGTCTCCGGAGGGCTCTGTTTGCAGCAGGCTGAGGTTGAGGCGGACGCCATGGCCAATCGGCACGGTGATCAGCCAGACGCAGTCCTGGGAGCTGGAGTAGGGGCTGGGGAACCCCGGGGAGTACACCGTGCCGTTGGATGAGCTGATGTTTCCGCCACAGGGCACTGCCAGAGAGAGGACAGCGGCAGGCAGGTGAGTACAGGCGCCCACCGCCCACCGGAGGTCAGCTGGCTTCCTACTGCGTCCCTGTCCAGGCCAAGAGGGATGGGCACTTTGGGGCCAGGTGACTGGAGCAATGGCACGGGCAGAGGCCGCTGGGAAGGCGAGAGCCTGGTGACCAAGGGAAGGAGGTGCCCAGGAGGAAGAGGAGCTGCTGGGTCAAGACGGGGAGCCGGGGAAGAGCCCCTCGTTCCCCTCTCCTGAGAAGCCACCCACGGTACACAGGGGTCAGGTGGGGAGGAGAGTAAAGTCCGCAGAAAAGCTGAGGGCATCGCGTGGGATCCGCCAGCTACTCCAGTGAACCGCTGGCTGGACGGGGTAGTTCGGAGAGTCCCAAAATTAAAGAGGGGGTTTGTTTAGAAATGACGCCTCCACTCCAACACGGGAGCTCAGTTCTGTGGACAAGGGCTCGTTTTCTACGGGTAAAGTGGCCCCCAGCTGAAGCACAGGTGACTGTCCTTTTGTCCTGTTTTAATGATACATTTCATTCAGCCCAAGATATCGGAGAGATGATCATTTGGGCAGGTCATCGATACAGACAACTGTGAATGAGGTATTTTTGCTTTGTTTGGACTGAGTGTGGTAATGCCCTTTCTAAGTCTTCCCTTTGCAGGACAAAGTCCAGCCTCTCCCCCGGGGAAACGCTGGTGGCCAGTGTAGAAAGGGGACTTGGATGCAGTGCACAGATGGGGCGGAGGCCGCATGGCCTCTGGTCATAGTCTGTCTCGGTTCTGGTTAGGGAGGAAGATGCAAGAGCCAGCCCCAGCTCCTTAGAGTCGTCCGCTCGGCTCTCTCCAGACACGCAAAGGCGGGAGATAGCGTTGGGCTGGAGGAGAGGGGGTGGGTGAGCTCTTAGGAAGACGTTTCATCCTCTCCTTCCTTTTGGAAGGGGCCATGATGAACGGTCGCCCTCTGCCCCTCGGCCCGCCCCTGGGCTCCCATACCCTCGTGTGGGCCTTCTCTTCCAACAGGGACATCTAGACGTTCTAGATCTTCCCGGGGATGGGCATATCTTCCCCACAGCCCCTCCAGCCCTCCCTGGTGCTGGCCCAGAGCCTCCCAGGACCCCCTCCTGGCCAGGCTGGTCACGTCCATGTGACAATAGAATGGACGAGGTTTGCCTGCCCTCGCAGCACTGGCGAGTCTGAGCAGGCAGGGGGAGGCCGATGGCTCTGGATCTGACTCCATGACCGGCCCCCGAAGATCAACGGGGTGGCGCAGGGACATACCTTCACACTTGGGCAGGGGATGGTCCCAGTTCCGGTTGGTGCCGTGTTGACATGTGAGGACAGGGTGGCCAGTCAGCTGATATCCTGGGAGACACTCGAAGGTCACCGACTGCCCGACGTTGTAGCCGGCTCCCCTCACTATGCCATTGGCAAAGGGCTCTGGGTCTGGGCACTCTTGAAGTTCATAGGCTGGAAAAGATGGGGACAAAGGTGGCTTTACTCCCCACGGAGAGAAACACGGGGAGAAGCACCAGGACCGGCCTGAGGCGGACCTTTGCGGTTCACTAGCTGCCGCCTGTGGGCGAGTTATTTAACGCTCTGTGCCTTAGCGCTCTCACTCACAGAGTTATCTGAGGACGGGGCAGGACCTGGTCCAGTACTGGCACGGGTAAGAGCTCAAGAAATGGGCCTATTACTGGCATTTCCACGGGAAAGGGAGGCTCAAGGGAGACAGTGCGGGGTTGCACCAGCATCCACCTAGCACCTACTGGGGACCAGGCACTGGCTGAGGTCGCTTCACACTGCCCATCTCATTTAACTCTCGCGACTTCGGCCGAGACCACAGACATCGGGTGCCGGGGAGGGAGAAACTTGCGCGGGGTCTTCCCAACTCTGGGAAGTTAGGACCGATCGGGAAGGAAGAAGTCCGGTGGGTGCCAGCCCATCTGTGGCAGAGGGAGTGGCCAAGCTGAAAGGGCGTGCGACCAGCAGTGGGCAAGTCCCTCTGGAGCTGCTCCATGGGAGAGGCTGGGCCTGACAAGAAGGAAGTGGCTGAGTCCTGCCCAGCACAGAGAAGCCACAGAGGGATCACGTGCTTCAGGACAAAGCCTCCGATTAATCGCGTCCACTGGACCAAGCGGAACCTCTGTGGTGGCAGCAGGGCACGGCGTTCACAGGAAGTGGTGGGAGGGACAGGATGCTCCGGCGTGGGGCTTCTCCGTGGAGGCAGGTGCGTTCACCACATGTGACACCACACCACTTAGGACGACCCGGAGCTAAGGCGGCCCGCGCTCCGCGATGCCGGCTGGGCAGGTGTTTTTGTTCCGCATGGTCCGGGGGGTGCGTCAC